AGGAGGGCCTGCCCTGGCTTGGGCGCCTCCACTCGCCATCTCCCCGTGCCCTTTCCTGCCCTTTCAGTCGGCCTACGGGCCCGACGCCATTCCCCCGGCACCCCAGCCGCACCCCTGCCTGCAGCATCCCTCTGCCCTCGCCCTGCTGCGAGGCTGCCCTGGCACCCCAGCCTAGCCCCCGTTGCACCTGTCCTCAGAGCAACGCTGAAGACTTGTACATGAAAATAGACAGCATCCAGGCGGACATCTTGGCGGCCAACAAAGTTAACCTCACCAAAGGTGAGTGGGGACTGAGGCAGCCGGGGTGCAGGCGCAGCCAGCACCCAGACTCACGCCCACCTTTCCTGCCCGCAGCATTGCACGTCTCTGGCGTCGGCAGCAACATGAGCATTTCCCTTGACATTCGTGATGCGGATCCCTTAGCCTACGTCACACACTTCCAGAGGGAAGATAAGGGCTCAACGGAGTAGCAGCCCCAGAGGCAAACCAGGGAGGCCGAGGCTCTGTGTGCTGCAGGGAACCCTGGCTGAAGGACGGCGCCTGGGGCCAACCAAGCTCAGAGCTCCTCCACTTGGCCCTAGGTGGGAGGCCCTCGGTGGGAGACTGGGGGTTGGGCACGCCAGTCAGAGAGGGCACCTGGCTGGGAAGAATTCAGTAAACAGACTTGATGATATCTATCTGTCCTTTGTGTATGTGGAGGGGACGGGAGGTCAAATGAGAGCTATGATAGGTTGGGTGCCTCTGCTCACCAAATTTTATTTTTGAGTTGGAGTCTTACTCTGTCGCCACCAGCCACCGCAGCTTCGACCTGCTGGGCTCAGGTGATCCTTCTGCCTCAGCCTTCCAAGTAGCTGAAACTACAGGCACATGCCACTACCCTGGCTAACTTTCTGATTTATTGTAGAGATGAGGTCTCACCAAGTTGCCCGGGCTCATCTCGAACCCCTGGATTCATGAAATCCTCTCACTTTGGCCTCCCAAAGTGCTGGGATTATAGGCTTAAGCCACCGCACCAAGCCCTGCTCATCAAATTAAAAAGCAGATCTGGAGGGGAGGGGTCACTAACACCCTGGAAGGGGCAGAACCTGAATAGAGGGCCTTGCCTGGTTCTCTCCTACCTCTCTGGTTGCTTCTTCCCATTCTCTTTTGTTTATTCCTTCTTTTCAGTCAAGCCTCTTTCCAGTTGGAGTAAGGCAGGACTCTGACCTTGAGCCTCTACCCTGCCTACTTTTGTGCTGTAGCAAACTAAGAAATCAGGTTTGCTTATTCTTTTTTTGTTTGAGTTGGAGTCTCACTCTGTCACCCAGACTGGAGTGCAGTGGCCGCTCCCGGCCACCGCAGCCTCTACCTGCTGGGCTCCGGCGATCCTTCCGCCTCAGCCTTCCAAGTAGCTGGAACTACAGGCACGCGCTACCACGCCCGGCTGATTTTTTGATTTACTGTAGAGATGAGGTCTCACCAAGTTGACCAGGCGGGTCTCGAACCCGCGGGCTCAGGCAATCCACTCACCTCAACCTCCCAAAGCACGGGATTACAGGCTGAGCCGCTGAGCCCGCTGGTTTGCTTATTCTAATTGTCAGCAGAATTTTGCAAAGTGCTCCTGACTCAGCACATCCCTCTGGAAAAATGCCCTGAAGAATTAAGCAGGATAGAGCACAGATTCCCAGGCTCTTGCCCGAATCACTGCATATTTAGAAAAGATAAGTTCAATGATCCCAGCCATGCCCCTCCCACTACATAAGATAATGTCTGATAGGATTGACCATTAGACTTCTGTAACCGCATGGACCCTCACACCCAAGCCTTGAGGAGATTTTGCTCTAATATGACATCTGAGCACACATACAGCTGCCACCACCTGTATGAAAGCAGTATGTTAAGCAGTGTAAGAAATCTCTCACCCTCCCGGGCTGAGTCCTCGGGAAGACTTCTAAATAGAACTAAGTTTAATTCTTTAAAAGACCGATTTTCCTTTAGCTGGCAACATCCTGGTGATCTCATCCTGTCTCAGCTTTAAGTACCATTTCTATGCCAATAACTCCTACATTTCTATTTCCAACTAAACGCTTCCACCTCATTGTGTCTAAAATAGAACTCCTAATCCTGGGCCTCCCTCCCCAGTTCAGCTGACGGCAATTTATCCTTCCTGTAACTCAAGACAAAATCGTGGTGGGCTCCTTGATGTCTCGCTTTAATATCCATATCTATTCTACCTGTTGACTCTACCTTCCAAATACATCCAGAACCCAACTGCATCTCACTCCATTGCTCATACCCTGGGCTGAGCCACCATCATCTTTCCTCGGTGTCACTCTGCTTTTCTCCCTGTTTTCTTCTTTTTTTTTTTTGAGTTGGAGTCTCTGTCGCTCGGGCTGGACTGCAGTGGCACACTCACGGCCACCCCAGCGTCGACCTGGTGGGCTACAGTAATCCTTCCGCCTCAGCCTTCCAAGCAGCTGGAACTACAGGTGCACACTACCACACCCAGCTAATTTTTGTTTTATTGTAGAGACAAGGTCTCACCAAGTTGCCCAGGTTGGCCTCAAACCCACAGGCTCAGGCAATCCACTCACCTCGGCCTTCCAAAGTGCTGGGATTACAGGCTGAGCCACTGAGCCAGTTCCCCACCCCCGCCTTTTCTTTTCAATACAATAGTCACTCTGTCGCCCAGGCTGGAGTGCAGTGGCGCTATCCCAGCTCACCTCAGCCTCAACCTCCTGGGCTCAGGCCATCCTTCCGCCTCACCCGCCCAAGTAGCTGGAACTACAGGTGCTCACTACCACACCTGACTAATATTTTAATTTTTTTGTAGAGATGAGGTCTCACTATGTTGTCTAGGCTGATCTCGGACTCCTGGGCTCAAGCAATCTGCTTCAGCCTCCCAAAGTGCTGGGATTACAGGAATGAGCCATCATGCCTGGCCAACATTTTTTTGTTTTTAGGAGACAGAGCCTAACTCTGTTGCCCAAGTTGGAGTGCAGTAGTGCAGTCATAGCTCACAGCAACCTCAGCCTCAGGACTCAAGCAGTCCTCCCTCCTCAGCCTCCTTAGTAGCTGGAACTACAGGCATGCAGCACCCCACCAGGCTTATTTTTAAAACTTTTGTTTATGTAGACAGGGTCTAGCCATCAGGATGGTCCTTTTAAATTTCAGATTCTATTACTCTGCTGAAAACCTTGTAGGGCTCCCCAATTCCACCGACTAAACTAAAGCCGTCATTACAGCCTTCATAGGCCTAACCATCTGGCCTCGTTACCTCTGAACTCTTCTGCTTCTGTCCTCCTGCAAACTGCTCCAGAAACACTGGCCTCCCTTGCTGGCTCTTGAAGCTGGCAAGCCATTGCCTTAGGGCTTTTGTACTGACTGTTCCTTCTGCCTAGAACCAAACCCCACAAATCTATCCACATGGCTAACTCCCTCACCTCCCTTCAACTCACCTTCTCCAAGAGGGTTAATCTTTTTCAAATTGCAACACACACTACCATTTCCTGTACTCACCCCCCTCATCCTGCTTTTTTTTCCCCATAGCATTACCTTATTTATTATGTGTATTTACTTCTTGTCCGTCTCTCCACTTAACTGCAGACTCCACTAGGGCAAAGATATTTGTTTCATTTACTGATATAGCCTGAATCCTTAGGACAACGCCTGGCACGCATGAATCGATGACTGAGGTACTGGGAGGGAATTGTCCCTCCAACTCAAAGGAAATAAAGTCAGATGGCAGCAGTTCTCCAGGCTGCCACGAGAGGGCATCATCGGCTCTGACATTGTTGGTCTTTGGCAGCCCAGCTCTCCCCAAACTGATCTTGAGCTTCTTGACCTAGGGAGGAAAAAAAAAGTCAACAAAATATAGCTGTATTTTCATAAAGCTAAATGGATTTTCTGTTTTAAAGAGTGTTCTTTAGGCCAGGCGTGGTAACTCAACCCTGTAATCCCAGCGCTTTGGGAGGCCGAGGTGAGGGGATTGCCTGAGCCCACAGGTTGGAGAACAGCCTGGGCAACTTGGCGAGACCTCATCTCTACAATTAAAAAATTATCCGGGTGTGGTAGCACTATTTGGAAAGCTGAGGAGGAAGATCTCTGGAGCTTGGCGGGTCTACGCTGGGGTGGCCGTGAGCGTGCCACTGCACTCCAGCCTGGGTGACAGATTGAGACTCCAACTCAAAATAAATAAATAAACAGACAAACAAATAAATAAATAAATACCTATGTACCTTTTGACACATTTGCTTTCTCGTTCCCCTGCCTCCATGTTTGCTGAGCTATTTGAGAGTTTCAGGCTGGATGCAGTGGCTCACACCTGTAATCCCAGCACTTTGAGAGATTCAGGCAGGAGAATTGCTTGAGCCCAGGAGTTTAAGAGCAGCCTGGGAAGGCTGGGCGCAGTGGCTTAAGCCAGTACTCACAGAATTTTAGGGGACTGAGGTGAGAGGATTGCCTGAGCTCAGGGGTTCGAGACCAGCCTGCGCAACTTGGTGAGACTTCATTTCTATAATAAATCAAAAAATTAGAGTGGTAGCGTGTGCCTGTAGTTTCAGCTACTTGGAAGGCTGAGGCAGGAGGATTGCCTGAGCCCAGCAGGACAAGGTTGTGGTGGCTGTGAGGGTGCCACTGCACTCCAGTCTGGTTGACATAGCAAAACCTCATTTCTAAAAACATTAAAAATAAAAAACAAAGAAAGGAAACAAATACAATTATTAGTTCATATTTACCTGGGAGGGGAGATACCATGGTCACAATTATTAACTCAATAATATCCTCTGTGGGCAACTTGGCGAGACCTCATCGCTACAATAAATCAAAAAATTAGCCGGGCGTGGTAGCACATGCCTGTAGTTCCAGCTACTTGGAAGGCTGAGGCGGAAGGATCTCCGGAGCCCAGCAGGTCGAGGCTGCGGTGGCCGAGAGCGGCCACTGCACTCCAGTCTGGGTGACAGAGTGAGACTCCAACTCAAAAAAATATATATATATATCCTCTGAAATAGAGTTTTGGCCAGGCACGGTGGCTCACACCTGTAATCCCACCTCTTTGGGAGGCTGAGGTCAGAGGATCACTTGAACCAGCAGTCTGAGATGAGCCTGGGCTTTTTTTTTTTTTTTTTAAAGCAATCAACTGTATACAAGTGTAACACTAAAGAGCCAGAGCCCCAGAGAACTGTGGGCCTTGCCTGAAGTGCTCACTTTCTTGAAAAGCATTTGTGGGGTGGATGGAAGTAGAGGAGGGGAAGAAAAAAACGTTTGTAAACATATATAACCAAGGTCGAACTTTTTGTTTTTGTTTTTGTTTTTGAGTTGGAGTCTCACTCTGTCACCCAGGCTGGAGTGCAGTGGCAAGTTCACAGCCACCTCAGCGTCAACCTGCTGGGCTCCAGTGATCCTTCCACCTCAGTCTTCTAAGTAGCAGGAACTACAGGCGCGCACTACCACACCCAGATAATTTTTTTTTGTTTCATTGTATTGATGAGGTCTCGCCAAGTTGTCCGGGCTGGTCTTGAGCCTTGTATGCTCAGGCAATCCACTCACCTCGGACTCCCAAAGTCCTGAGATTACAGTCTGAACCACCAAGCCCAGCCAAGGTCGAGCTTTTAAACAAGTTTTTTTTTCGGTCAGGCGTGGTGGTGCACCTGTGATCCCAACTACTAGAGAGGCTGAGGCGGAAGGATCGCCTGA